TATCACTTTGCCACATTATGTTGAAACTAAACATGTTCCACATTTCCAGGTGCTGTGCTTGGACCTTGTGATGAGAGACTGAAGACCAAGAGAGGACACATGTTGGAACATCAACATTCAATAAATGCATTCTTCTGCCTTTCAGATTGTGTTTTTACATCTGGGGAACCTAGAGTGTAGCTTGTGCCTGTTTTAATACTGATCCAAACATAGGCGCTACAATCATGTTTTTTTACTTTGGCATGAACTGTTCAGTACAGTAGTGTTCATAACACTGTGCCCTGTGTGCTTTAACTTTTACTTTGATGTAGAGAAACATGATTTTTAATGCAGCTCCATTTGCAATAATGACTGATATCCTTCTACTACAGTTGTTCTAATGATTTTTGAATGCTGTGTTTATCGTTTATTGCCCAGAGTCAGAACTAAACATGATATAGCTGCATTTCAGATTCACAAGGCTAAAATCTGGAACGGTCTTCCTGGAAATGTGAGACAGGCTTCTTCTTTGACAATGTTAAAATCCAGGTTTAAAACACTTCTGTTTCTGCTTCAACTGAGAGATTTTTTGAGAGATTTTATTTGTATCTTTTTAATTTACTGTCAATATTTATAATTGTAATGCCTTGTTTGATTGTTTCTATCTTTTGTTCAGTGCTTTGAGTTTCCTTTTGTTTTGACTGTGCTATACAAATAAACTTGCCTTGCCTATTGCAAAAAGTATGTCTCGACTATTAAGTCATTCTACAGAGGTCAATAGGACTGTAAATGGACGTCATATAAACGTCAATATTTTGGTCATATAAGACGTCGAGAGGACGTCGGACCCGACTGGTTCTGTACCACATTACAACCTTGAATGAACGTCCAGATGACGTTGGAATTACGTTGTTTTGACATCTGCTTGCTTAGTGGGAACGACTGAAAACGAACGTCATATAAACGTCAATATTTTGGTCATATGAGACGTTGATAGGACGTCAGACCCGACCGGTTCCGTACCACATTCAAACCTTGAATTGACGTGCCATCAACGTAACATTTGGAGGTTGAGGTGACGTCGGGAAACGACGTCGAGAAAACTTTCATTCTGCACCCACCAGTGACCTATATTCTACGTCGGACAACGACGTTCAAATTACGTTGATTCAACGTCGGCTTGCTTAGTGGGTAGGCCCTTTACTCACTATTATCATTAGAACGTAACCCAGGGCAACGCAGATAACGCAGCTCTAGCCTGACCCTTAAACCACAATATCCACCTTCATAACCCTCAATGGGCCGACCAGTCAGCGCTTTCCCACTGAGACGCCGTCTTGAATAATGCGCTCTATGAATAAAAAACATTAGCCACAAAACATGTTAAATTATTCACAGATCCGAGCGCCTATCCCGCACCCGATGGAGCCGATATTAGTTCTTCAGACTTTGAATATTTTGCAGCAAGTCCTTTGAGCCCCAAATGCTTCCCCTCATTTCTTGTCTCTCTTGATCATTCACACAATGCATTTTGTTCAACTTTTACAGTACATCTCCTCAGCTGACTCAGTGCTGGCGGCAGATACTATTTATACTTCACAATAATACTACAGAAATACTCCTAGTGAAACATTTCATTTATCTAAAGGGCTCTTGAAGCTGTTGAGGAATACATTTTGTTCAGAGGGAATCTTTGATGACTTGAAAACATGTAACAACCCAAAATGGAAACATCGTCACTTAGAAGGAGCCACACACTGCGCCGTTGAAAGTCAAAGGAGCCGAAATGAGACGAAGGAGGCGTCTATGCTAATTAAATACTTGACCTGATATGCATCCCTCTCTGTGCCACTGGGAATTTAAGATTTTCATGATTGTGAGTTAATTTTCAACATCAAGAGTGCCACGCGTGATCTCAAAAAGCCAGACAATTACAACTCTAAGCTCTACTTTGAGAGCAGCTAAATGGGGAAAACAGTGGTTCTTTTATAATAATGGCTCAGAAGCTCCTTGAAAGGATTTTGTGGATCAGAAGGCAGCGATTACAAATTGGGGGGAAACTTGCCATGCCAGAAAAACGTCACCATGTTCCACGCTACTATGGTAAAACATATACTGTAGCTGTTGAGTGCATAATTTTGGATACAAATCAATAAAGTTTAATTTAGGGCTGTCAAAATTATCGGGTTAACGCACAATAATTACATGTTTTAATTACATTTGACGGGCGTACCAAATGACCCCCCATGAGTCTGTCAGGAATAAACCAGACAGAGACGGATCGTGGTGCGCCAAACTCTGGAAGTTTATTTTGGTTTCTCTCAAGTTCCAGTGGTTTCAATTGTTTCTTTCTCTCAGACAGAATAAAGGCAGTACACAGTTTATATAGTCATTGTCACGTCACACATTGAAAGACATACGTGTCAAATCCAGAGACAGTCACAAGTATATCATAGTCAAAACATGGATGCATCAGAGTCCTTGTATAGTCTTGCAGTTGTCCTGCACGTAGGCCAAATCGCTATCTAATCCTCACACATCCCATAATAACACTCAGAAGTGACGCAGACGCATGTGAAATGGCGACAGAGCAGGTAGGCATTAGTTATCCTCGCTGTGTGGGGGAGAGGTTTCGCAGGTCCTTCCTCCCTGCTGCTGTCAGACTGTACAACGAGAATGTGTAACAAGAGCTGCTGAGTTTGTACAAATGTCACTGATAATTCACTAGTAACTTTGTCACTAGTCACTTTACCCGTTATTAGTATTACTGCATTATGACATATCCATCTGATATTTCTGCCATTCACCAGAGAATATGAATATGAGCAGAATAAACATCATAAATAATATCAACAGATAAAGTGACTTGAATGGGAGAATTATCAGATGGATATGTAATAATACAGTAAAATATCAACAGGTAAAGTGACTGGTGAAAGGCAGAAATATCAGATATGTAATAATGCAGTAGTACTGATAACAGGTAAAGTGACAAGTGAGAAAGTTACTAGTGAATTATCAGAGACTGATTAGCAGTTCCTGTTACACATTCTCGTTGTACAGTCTGACAGCAGCAGGAAGGAAAGACCTACGGAACCTCTCCTTCACACAGGGAGGGTGAATTAGTCTGTCACTGAAACTGCTCTCCAGGGAAGAGAGTGTCCTGCAGGGGGTGACAGTCATGGTCCAGCATAGATGTTAGTTTGCTCAGGACTCTCCTGTCCCCCACCTGCTGCACTGTGTCCAAGGAACAGCCCAGGACTGAGCTGGACTTCCTGATGACCTTATCCAGCTTCTTCCTGTCCCTTTCTGTGATGCTGCTGTTCCAGCAGACCACACCGTACAAGATGGCTGATGCCACCACAGAGTCATAGAAGGTCTTTAGGAGTGGCCCCTGCACTCCAAAAGACCGGAGCCTCCTCAGCAGGTAGAGCCGGCTCTGGCCCTTCTTGAAGAGGGCGTCTGTGTTATGAGTCCAGTCCAGTTTGTGGTTCAGATGAACACCCAGGTACTTACCAGGTACCCAGGTAAGAGTCCACTCTCTCAATGTTCTTTCCCTGGATGTTCACTGGGGCTGGAGCAGCAGAGTGACACCTGCGGAAATCCACCACCATCTCCTTGGTCTTCCCCGCATTGATGAGGAGGTGGTTCCACTGACACCAGTCCACAAAGTCCTGTATAACTCCTCTGTACTCTGCGTCATCGTCCTCGGAGCTGAGTCCGATGATGGCAGAGTCGTCGGAGAACTTCAGTAGGACGCAACCGTCCGTGTTGTGTCTGAAGTCCGCAGTGTAGAAGGTGAAGAGGAACGGAGCGAGGACAGTCCCCTGGGGGCCCCCCACACTGCAGGTCAGGACCTCAGACACACATTTTATTCTTATTTTAAATTTATTGTCTATTATCTTAAATAATAGACTTATTTGATGTGTGCAATCTGAGTGCTCTTATTTCCTTCTTTCTCTGCTGTAATGTGCGCAACGATGACACTGAAATTTCTCTACTGTGAGACGAATAAAGGTTTATCTTATCTTATCTTATCTTATCTGTTAGCATTAGCACAACTTCTTTTAAGCTATACAGCAATCACTGATGAAATGGTATAAAACGCACTGCTAACAAAATATATAACGGAAAGATTACCCCCAGTTTCGCGTCCAAAGTTAGTCCAAGGTGGCCCCGCTCCCGCAGGTCTCTCCAGCGAGGACACGATGAAAGATAGCTATGTTCACCCGGGCTTGATTTCTTCTTCGATAATTTTTTCACTTTAGTTCCCTCTTCCCCTCCTCACTGTTGCATATTTTGGGCTGTTTTGCAGTGTATGCAGTTACAGCCAGAGGCTCCCATGCTGCTATTGTTTACATGCGCTGCATATGCTAGAGAAGGCGTGGCCAAGGAGAACGAGCGTCACGCAGGGTTTCTAATGAGCACTTTTTAATCTCTGTTTTTCAATTGAATTACGGATTTCAATACAAATTTTAATACAACTTAGAAAAAATACTGTCTACAGTAAGACAGAATAATGTTAATAATGTTAATGCAATTTTATGTGGATTTATTGTTGTTTTAATAAACAAAAACAGTACATGTGTACACTATGTTGTCTTTTATCTTTTCAATCAAACAACCATTTAAATTAAAATAAATAGCAGCAATGCATTTAATTACGATTAATAATTTTTTCAGCTGTAATTAACTTGATTAAAAACTTTAATTGTTTGACAGCCCTTTTTAATTGCATTTCAAAGTAGCCCCAAGGCACCTGACTTTACAATAATGCACTAAGGATTTTAAAGGATTTCAATCAATATTTTCATGCCAATAAAATAAAACAAGCCTTGGGAAAAGCCAAGATTTTCCAACTTTTCCACTTTTTGAACAATACTTTACAGTCTTATTTGGTGAGCACGTATCACCAAAATGATTGACAATTGGATTGGAAGGGCCAGTAGTCTTGATGATCCATCCGGAAGTAGAAAATCGTCCTTTAAACATTACATCTCTACAATTCTCTTTCTTTAGTCTCATGGTTGTCCATTATTCTCTATTGAATTACTAACATATTTTCTTGATTTGAGCAGATGGAACTTGACGAGTCGCATCTGCTCAAATCAAGAAACCCGACACCAATGGAACAGAATATGTGAAGAAAAAGTGTTTGGACTACAAATACTAACTTCTTCAAATAAGACTTCTATTGTTCCATTGGCAAAGAATTTCACTTTTCAAGTCAGATCTAATATGTATTGTGTAAATATGTAAAATTATTCTAGATTTTTGTTGAAGTGAAAAAATGAGTGCTGTCGAGGGATTAGTCACTTCTATTGATAATTATTGGGTCTTCCAAGTATTGTCCCCTCAGACATTTGAAGCTAAGCAAAGCAGGGCCTGGTTAGTACCATGATGGGAGACCTGTGGGAACATCAGTGTCGCAGTGGGACCAAACTGTTCTTGTGTCCTTAGGCAAGACACTTCACCCACATTGCCTAGAATGAGTCTGTGTGTGTATGAATGGTTGGTGGTCGGAAGGGCCAATTGCACAGACTGGTTGCCTATCAGTGAGCCCCAGGGCAGCTGTGGCTACTGTAGTAGTTTATCAGGAGTAGAATAATGACATGTGAAGCATATGCGTAGCGTTTGAAGAAGTTTATCGAGAGAAAAATAAGCGTGTGTGTAGACTATGTGATGGAACGGAACTAGGTAGATGGAATTTGTTCTAGTTTAATTAATTATGCATAAACCCTTTAACCCTTTAACCCTCATCCGTGAAACACAAAACAGCCAATCAAATTCCAAGGAAGAATACGACAGGCTCAACTATAGGTTCATGCAGAAACTTGCTTGAGTACGACTTGACACAATGAATAATAAAACACGTGTATACAATGAGTACTCACCAGAGCACAGTAGGTCTCTGGGGGGTCTCCGCAGGTGATGTTGGGGGGGTCCAGCGTTACTTTGAGGAACTGGGTCATGTCCGCAGCCTCGGGTTGACAGGCCATGTAATCCCAGGTGAGACCCTCGTCTGTGTACACCTGGGACTTGCACACATCATAATGGCCCCATGCTGTCGGGTAGTGCTGCATTGCTGCCTGGCTCCACGCAGTCCACAGGGCCTGCAGTGCCAACGCCAAATGGAAACGCATGGTCATCTCCTCTGGTTTTTACTGGTTCAAATGGGAAATCACTCGCAGGTGTTCAGTAAGGTGGCATCTCCTTTCAGCTATTCAGTCTCCTAACGTGAAGTGTTTGCAATTTGCGTCTTTTCTCTGTTTGATATTGAAGTGCTCACCAGTCCATTGAAAATGAAATTTGCAGATAAGATGACCGATGGTGCCCTCAGCTTGCCCTCCTGTCACTCATTGCTCCAACACTGGCTTGTGATCTGAAAACAAAGGAGACAAGGCACAGTTTGAATATTTTCTTTATGAAAATAGATAGTGAAAAGGCATTAGCTGGCGCCACGGCTGAGGTGTCTGTGTAGGTGTGAATAACATGGATAGAGGCCATATGGGTGTCGGCTGTCAGTCAGAAAATCAGTAAGTGAGGCCTGCAGGGTGAATAGGAGAGTTTTCACACCAAAGTCGTCTCTCAGATTCATTGCAACAGATCGCCACCTGATCTCAGCTCTCGTGCTGATAACATATGGGCTGTGTTCACACAGTACAGCTAAATAAATCAGAAAGATTGTTGTTTAAGATTGGTGCTTGATGGAAAGGATGAGTTCAAGTACCAGTTTAAGACTGAGCCCCAGACCACTATTTATGTGATTCGATTTTGAAATATATTTGACCTTGCAGTGACCCAATCCATCACGCTGGTCTTTAGGATGCTAAAGGGTCAATGGTTATCTCTGCAGAGTAAACCTACAAAACTACATTGCTCAACCTGGAGCAATGTAGACACAACTGTGATCCAAAGTACAGGCTTCCTGATTCACACTCTTACAGCCAAAGATGCAAACATAACATTTTATCATTACATAAAACATTGAATACTGCAAACCGAGAATAAAGTGTCTATTTCCAATCAAAGTAGTTTTTACAATCCTAATAAAGACCCATTTTACTGTGCTACAGAAGTTTTGGTACCCCATTTACATAAACGGCAGTGGAGTTAATTGTAGTTTGCAAACAAATGGTTTATAGTTTATTCTAGCTTGGAAGGAAAAATACACAGTCTGGTTCTGTTTCATGTGTATTTTCAAAAAACTCCACACCAAATCAAGTGAATCCATGCACAATGATCTGACCAGTCATAACAACCATGATGACAGGTAGTGTTCAAACTGAATGCATTAACACTCATTTTCCCATGCATGCATGTTTTCATGCACAACTTTTGAGATTTTTCCAAAAGAAAAGTGAAAAAGAGAGGACTACCTTCACTCTATCTATCAGCTCCTAGACCAAAGCGTCAAATAGTGGCTCGCAGGGCTAGCAGTATGCCATAAATAACATGTTTTACTTGCAGCTTGGTCTGATCTGATCTTTTACAAGACTCTTTCTGTTGTGGCAAACTATGAAGAAAAAAGTGAAGTACCCCAGCTTTAAAGATAAAAAGCCTATAGTTTCCTGTGAATGCTGTTATTGGCTTGCCCTTCACAGGTGTAATGAGCGAGTCCCTGTGATCACTGTCATCGTGGCGGGGGGACACTCTCTAGCGTCCTAACGGCGGCTGTGGGTGATTGATGGAGACCAGAGGCAGCGGTCAGACGGTGGGACAGACTGCAAGAGGTTTTGATGTGGCTTAATCAATCACCCTGCTCCGATGCTGCGTGTGACCAGGGCAGGAAAAGACCGCACACAGCTCAGGGAACGCTGCTGAGGTTACAGAACGAGGTTTAAGATATGTCCGAACATCAATGGATACTGTATTGGCTTCCGTCAGTGCAGTCAGAATATCAGGTAAGTATAGCCGACTGTTCGCTGATATCAGACTACTCCAATAACAGAATGAGCCTTGTAAAGTAAAAAGTTGTGAACACAGACCACGACATGCTGTCTTCGTCTCAGGAGAAAATATGAAACATTATGTTTTGCATGGAAGAAATGTCATTGTACCCCATCACGCATCACACTCAGAGCAGTTGTATACAGTTCTAAAAAAATATGTTAAATTCAGTTTTTTACAATCTATTTGTTTTGGTTGCTGCAAGTATTTTATTTTTTTGCCTCCAATTTCAAATTTGGTAAAAAAACACAACAAATTCTACCTCTGGTATGGCAAGCTAAAAGAACTGTTTTCATGCCTGTTGTTTCACCCTATATTTTCTATTTAATATATAATTTTCACAGTCTATAGTCCATTATTATTATTATTATCCATTATTTTGAATGGCCAAAAATGATGTTTAATATCTAATCTTTAATACAGAAATTTCAATACAAATGCCTCGACTAGATAGACTAAAGAAATCATGATGAAGTTGCCTTAATGACAATTGCAGGATGCATAACTTAGCCCGTAGAAAAGTCTGAAAATCTTCATTTTGTGAAGAGTGAGTGAAGTGAGAGCTGGAGGAATGATGAGGAGGTGAATGGCACAGAATCTGAGCTTTGTTAAATGTAAAACATATATATTGTTGTCAATGGCACCGGTGTCAAACAGGTGAAGAAGCATCCAATTATCCTGAGCACCTCCACTGCTCTATGCGCCCATTACTCTCTCTGCATTAGTGTGTGAGGAGTAAAGACAAAAAGGGGACCAAGAGTATCTGGGTGCAGTGCTTAACACGCTATACACGATAAAGGGACTGCAGTAATGAGACAACAACCTTAGTAACAAGTCACAAAAGAGAGGTCATTATGGTCCTCCCAGTGTGCAGACCCTTACCATCATTACAGAGCCGTTATACATCCACAGCGGAGAGGAGGAGGGAGAGGACATGTGTGAGCTGCTATAATGACTGAGAACACAGCCCACTATGCCAAATTATGAATCCATACATACAGACAATCCTGTAACATGTGTAAGTGTGGAGTAGAGTTTAGACTTTAGAAGAAGTAACTTACTTTGTTTAGATGTTCAAACAATAGTGTTCCTGAGACATCAAAACATTCTAAAGAGCCTATATTTTAAAATTGAGATGGAGGTACACTACCGTTCAAAAGTTTGGGGTCACATTGAAATGTCCTTATCTTTGAAGGAAAAGCACTGTAGATAACTTTAAACCAGTCTTAACTGTAAAGAAATATACTCTATACATTGCTTACGTGGTAAATTACTATTCTAGCTGCAAATGTCTGGTTTTTGGTGCAATGTTGTAATTGCTGCAAATGGAGGATTCTTTGACGAAAGCAAAGTTGGATGTAAAACAAATCTTATTTCAAATACAAATCATTATTTCTAACCTTGTCAATGTCTTGACTCTCTTTCTTCTATTCATTTCACAACGTATGGTGGTGAATAAGTGTGACTTTTCATGGAAAACACTTGGGTGACCCCTAACTTTTAAACGGTAGTGTAAATTTTGTGCTAATTTTCTGTCATTCCGGGGCTCCCCTTTATTGACCTTTATTTACTATATTTTCTGGGCTAAAAGTAGCCCCTGCAGGCTCTACTTTTTTAGAAATACACTGAATCTTGTTCTTGTGCAAGCCGCACCGGATTGTAAGATGCACGTAGTAATATTGAAAAATGTAGCTCAAAACTTAAAATGAGTCAAGGAGCAAAATCTACCATTACTCTTTTCACTTTCAAGTCTATGTCTATACAGAGAACCAAAAAACAATTCATTATATGAGATATTTACACAAAGATATTATACAAGTGAGGACATTTAAACTGTATTTAATCCGCTCAGTAAAAAAAACACCTTTTACAAATTATTTTTTCTCACTGTGCCAGTCACCTTATAATATGGCATTCGTTTGTATTTGCTAATGCACAAATGATCAAAGTATGATAATTATCATTATCATACTTCTAGTATTTGCCATGTTGAAAAGGGGGGAGTTCAAATTACTGATTGACATATAATAATATTATGAACTATGTGAACTACTCATCAATATTGTTATAGCTCATTGCAGGAGTCAAAGTGAGAGAAGAAAGCAGCGGCTTATAGTCTGGAATTTACAGAAATTAGGAAAGTCCCACTGATGTTGAAGAATCTTTTTTTGAGGAGAACCCTGGCCCCAGAGACGGGGGCTGGAATGGGGTCAGAGAGGGTGTGATGGGTCTATTCTGTACATGTTTTTAGATGTAGGCCTGTGGAGAACATGCAAACTTCGCAGAGGAGGTGGAATCGAACCCAGCACCTTCTTGCTCTAACCACAGCCCCACATATCAGCTATGGTGTAAATATTTTACTGTAAACAAGACGTGACAATGTTAAATTGGACATTTTCTTTTCAAAATATGCCTTCCAACTAAAATATGACATTATGATATGATCGCGACCAATAGCATAGTTAATATTTCATAATTGTGTACTTTTGCTCATTATAATAATTAACCATCTTGTTCCATCGTGATGCTTCCCTGTGTATTTTCCTCCTTTGTATTTCACATAGCCTTGGAAAAAAGGAAGACATGGTCAAAACAATCAATAAGGCTTTTGTTTGAAGTCAGAGTGACCCAAATATTCTTCATTTTTGTAAACTTGAGTTGAACAAATCTCACGCTCAGTTCTTCAAAAGGTTAATACTTTAGTACATTGTTTTGTGCATACACTGCAAAATCCCAAAAAAATGTTGAACTTGACCACTGATTGATACATCTGCGTTCACCAGTAGAATCTTGAGAGGTTTATTTGGATCAGGTCATTTCCTCGGATGCATCGATCAAAGGGAGAAGACATGAGAGGCGTCATCTCAGAGTCCTCTATAAAAAGTGCAATGTACACTCACAACACTTACACAAGCAGTAGGAGGTCTGCACTGAGAGCAGGGGAGGATTGTAAATATCCAAATAAACATCTTCTAAACACTATTCAAGTATAGCTGCTTCAAATTATACCCACGTGCAGAATATGCAAGAAATTATAAAAGGACCTCTTGAAATGGTTGATCTTGCAGTATTAATATAGGAAATAACGTTAACTTATAATTCTCTGCTTCAAAGCATTCTAATTGTAGTTAAGTTTAGTGGAATGAACGAAATGAGATCATTATGAAAGTATGTTGTCAGTTTGAAACACATATTTGCTGAATTCAGTAGGGCAAGTAAAAAGATAATACTCTTTTGTTAGATGTGTGTTGTGGTTATACAAGATTCTGTGGAATTCTTCAGGCAATGAAAGAGCATCTCCATTGGAAAATCTATATATAGATGCACCTGCACAATCACTGAAACTGCTTTCCAACTTGCAACAACAACACAGCCACCTCACTGAAATCTTCCCACTTTGTTTTAAAGGAGATTCAGAGATGGGCAATATGTTCTCCCTATAATTGCCCTTATACCTCGATTTCCACTTTATAAAAATATCTGGTGTGACAAAAAAACAATGTTTTTTATTGCTAACTGTGCTTAATATTCAAAGTGCCCATCAAAGTGAAGACGAGAGCACAGTCAGAGAAAAACTTTGTACTGCCTGTGCTCCTGACTTTTTGACAAAACAAATGTGATTTTTTGGACAGATCTAAGGAGAACCTAGTGCTTTATCTATCAACAGGTCTAAATCTTTCAGCTGCTGTTGCGCTGTCTGTCTGAGAGGTCAGGACACGCACCCAAACACCCCTCCCATCCTTCAGCCCTTCTTTCCGCTGCATCTGCAACGGGACAGGGAGACATCAGCCTTCAGGTGTCTGTCGGCATCACGTCCCGGGGGCCGCTGGAGCAGAACAGAGTGGCTCCTAACCCCACGAGGATCCAGGACGGCACGCAGCTCTTTAGTGGTGTTGCGTTAAATCATGGATGTCAAACCACAGAGCAATGAAGGAAGTCACTGCACGGCACTTGTCACATCAGCTGTAAATATGGGACTAAATATTCAACATGTTGTGATTTGAGGACTTTGTTCACTTTTGTTTTGTTGGGAATAAAGATGCAAATACAGTTACAGTACATGTACATACAAATACAAAACCTCAAAATCAGCTGGAAAACATATCTGCATAATCATAATAATAGGCCTAACAATGTTTTATGTTCATCAAAAGTAACTTTTATTCCTCTGATATACCAACATAATCAGAACCGATGTGGGGTAACTGTAATTCTACTTTGTTTGTTTGATGGTATTTATCAGATTAGAATACCAAATGTAATGTCATGCATTCAGACATTCAGATTACTGTCAAATTATTAATTCCATACAATGGCGATATATCCGTATATATTACAGTTGAAATAATGTTATAATGTCTCTTCCATGTTTTATGTTTATTTATTTATTTATTTTTTGTGTTGAATTTTAAACGGATATTACTTCATAGAACGAAAGGTGCATTATGAATCCAAATGTATTATTATTAGAAAAAAAATGTTATCGTGATATTTGTGCTGATGTTTTCAAATGGGGTTAAGCCACAAGAGAAACAGTATCTTCTTCCTTATGTACCGTAATGCGAGCCTTAAAACAGCCGTGGATCATCCTAGGATAGAAATGTAGAAATGATAATCTTAAAGCTGAAATCATAAGAACAGAACAAACTATGAATTTGCAAAAACAGTTACAGTAAGTTCAGTTAAGCCTTACAATTTACCCCTTACAAATGTTATACTTATTGCCATATAAATACAATTTTCTTCATATGTTCTGACAAAAACAAAACACGAGTATTAGCCTGGTCGTACGACACCATAGTACAAATTTCATTTCATACTAAGGTCTGGATTTGCTCCATTGTGCTCTGTGAACAGGTGGGAGGGGTTAACTCCTTTTGCAGATTGAAACGATTGGATCTGAGTTTACTGTGACATATGTGCGCCCGAGTCTGTTGTTAGCATTAGCATTTAGCCTAGCCATCTCCTTTGCCGCTAACGGAGCCCGTGGGGAGTAGCGCCACAATCTTGACCAGCGATTACATTTGCTAAACATTCCTCTTGCTCCTGCTTCAATTTCTTGATAGAACCAGACCGGATTAATTTACTATCGCATTCTTTGCCACTGCCAGACTACAACGGTTCGGTTCGGCGCAAACTCTTGACGTCTCCGGCACCGACCTACAACGCGCTCTCTGAGTAGCCGGTCGAAATACGACCGATTGTAATCGCTAACACAGGGACCAGACCCAGACGCTAAATGCAGTGAAATGATGATTGAGCGGAGTGTACGGATGGCTATGGCCAGGCTAATAGAGTATGTATTTTGCAAATAATCTCTTCACATTTTAATGATCATGACATATCTCTTAAGTTCAAGAGGCAGAGATATATCATTCACAGATCCTCAAATCTTAATTATCTCTCATATTAAGTGAACATAAATGTGAATATAAATGTGACTCTGAATGTGCCATGGAGAGAACCAGCTGTGTTACAAGGAGGAGGTAGACTCGGTACTCATATCAAAGCTATTTTTGTGCTTTCATTTTTAATTTCACGCATTTTATTAACTTTCAAGGGCAATTTCTGACCCCCTTCATCCTGCGTCTGCCTGCTTCGCATTCGACACCCGTGATAGGGAGCGTGGAGGATGGCCGGATCACATGGTGAGGGCATGGATGAAACATTGATAAATACAGTAAGAAAGTATCTATAAACCACCTCTGCACCTTCTCCATCGACTCCCACTGATGACTGCTGTCGTTGTGTCCTTGGGCAAGACACTTAACCCCAATTTGCCCAAAGCCCCCACTGAAAGATCAAGGCTATGCTCACAGTCAGAGAGCAGCCGTCCTCCTGTGGACTCACCACCTGCAGAGGGTCAGTGAGGGGCTGGTGCTATGAGACTTGGGTGGCATCTCTGATTGCCAACCCCCTGACCCAGAAATGGATTAAAGGGTAGAAAATGGATGGATGGATGGAAGTATCTATAAATTACAAAGAGAATGCTGGAAAAGTAAGTGATTCTCTGACAATAGAGATAAGATAGATTGTTTGATGTGTGTATTCAGTTTCTGCTAAGAGAATACACTTTAAAGCTGGGGTACCTAACATTCAAACCACAAAGACCAAAAAAGTCCATGCTCTCAAAACAGTCACTAGTTTTGAAGTGAAAAAAGTGAAAAAGAGAGGGACGGCATCACTCAGCCAATCAGCTCTCAGCCCAAATCCTCAATTCGTGGTCTCTTTATACAGAAGGTAACATGTGTTCAATGTTTCGCATGTTGTGGTGTAAAGATGGTAGCAACATTTCACATTGCTGCCATTATCTAATGTAAATAAAAATATGTATGATCTATGCTTAAAGCTGGAGTATAGTATTATTTACTTGATGTACTTTTGAATGTGCTGTAAACTGCAGCAGGCTCAGTTTTTGTCTTTGTGCTTCACAATTGGTAGTTTTTTTGGCTTTTTTTCTATCTGTAAATAACACTGCAGTACAGTGCTGGTGGTTTTACACTGATCCAGACCAGAGCAGAGGAAATGGTCCCAACCAAGCAGCTACACCACCTCTGCTGCTGTGACCTTATGCACTGTTGCTTCAGAAAAGTAAAAAAAAAAAAAGAGAGGAGCACTCTCACTCAGCCAATCAGCTCTAAGCCCAAAGCATGAGATAGTGACACATAGGGCTCTTACAAGTACGCTTAAGACAACATGTTTTCTAATAAGATGAAAGATGGCATGGTGTTGTCTGATTTGCGCATTTTACTTTTAAACCACTCTTTCTTTTGGGACAAACAATACAGCAGCTTTAAGATATAAACAACAGAAATGATAGCTATCATGAGATTTTACAGTGTAGTAATTAAAGCTAATATGCAAATACAGAAATCATTCAATATTTACTCCATGGCAAATGCTTGTACAGTAGCCCTACTCCAAATGCCAGTATTTTCTTCCCTGACTGTAACAACCTGCCAATAGTCCCACGCTGTCCTCATGCATAAACAGAGCGGACACGACAGCCCGCGGAGAAGCCTGCGCCACGGTAATGCGTCCCCGGGGCTGGCCTGGCAGGCGGCGTGTCACTTAACCATCCTTTCAACTTCTTCAAAATGCCGCTAGTTTCACTCGGCACAGGCTATGATCTTTTAATAATGGCGACAGGTAATGCGAGCCAAGAGCTGACAGCTGTTAAGGAGAATAAAAGCGAGGATTGGGAAATAACAGGGGAATCAGAGCAGAACAGAGCATGGAGGCAAATGTATGTTTACTACTGTTACTGCTTATAGAGCCAACAATTTAAGATCAAGACTTCTTATATGTAGTAATAATATGATAATGTCAGGGTTTATCTATTATTATTATTATTATTATTATTATTATTATGTATCTATCTAGCTGTTAAAAGCACTAATATAAAGAGCGTGTATATATTTCAAAATCACTCAAAACTTTTAAGTTCTTTAATTCAACATGAAATATGAAACCGATTTCTGTTATAGAACCATTAAATGCAAAGTGCTTGTTATATTATGGATGGTTATCAAATAAAATTATTAAATAAACAAATATTAGTTTCACATTGTATGGTGAATTACAGAAGTACATTTTCAACAATATTCAAGCTTCATCTGAACCTGTCACTTTTAAAAAGAAGGATATCACACAACACCCTCTGTGCATAATAGTGATCTGGTCTATGCATTATTGTATATGTTGCTGTTAATAATTATTCTATTGGAAAACAGACAACATACTCAAAGCCTAATAGCAAGGCAAGGCAAGTTTATGTGTGTAGCATAGAGCATACAAGAAGACATTTATTTTTCTTTAATTGATCTTCAAGACCTCTCATATAAAGTCAACAAAAATCCAATACATGAGAGAACCAGCTGATTTGATCATAGCTGAGTGTGTGTATTAAGAATAATACTGCGCAATATCATCGAAAAACTCATTCTTAAACTTTAGTAGCCTACGATGGAAATAATGGTGTTTTTTCTGATTCTGGATGAATAATATAAGAAGTGCATTTGGAAAGGCATCTAAAACCTGCTCAGACATTCTGCAAATGACCACATGCTTAAGGCCAGATGACTTGGCATTAAGTGGTATTAGTGCTCCCTCTCTGACTCACCCCTCGCCCCCTTGTCCCATGACTTAAGTCTTTTCCGTCTGCCTCCATCCCTGCCACATGTTCTCTGCTTTGGACACGCTGACGATGTTGGCTGCTCATGGAGGAGAGGACCCTGCGGGCGTCTGCTGCTTTGGCATCCAATAAAACTCTCCCGACCGGATCACGCCTTTCCCCCATCCCTTCCCTCGGCTCCTTGTTTCCTTTCCTCGGCTTGTCCTCGCCACCACAAGCATGCATCCTCCTCCACAACGTTGCGACACGGGAACACCTTATGCATTATTAAAGACACTTTTCCTAAAAGGCTGCGAGCACATTATTCTGCAACCACAGTGACATGCCAGCTGAAAATGTCCACTTTAGCTCCAAAGAATGAGCTGTCCCAGTATAGAGGCCACGTTTACCTTGTTAAAGGCTTTAGGAGCAGAGAAGATAACTTATTACTTTGCGCAAGGAACACAGACCAAGGTCTTCTCCCTTTAACAACACATTTTTTTCTAGACAAATATTTCAACAATCAGCAACAGAACAAGAAAATTAATTAGCATGGAAAAAATGATGTACCTTTGCACCAAAGTTATGTGGAAAGGGATGTGCCTATTCGTTCAAAATTGGTCAATATTGGTCTTAATATGTCAAATGATTAAAGACTAACTTACACTCACAATCAGTATTCAAATATCCAGTCAGATATAGAGGTGTGTAATGTAATTGAACAATTGTATTTTAGACAGCAGTGAACAATACAACACATAATACAATCTAGGCCTGAATTAAATACCGCTATTTTAGGAACGATTCATCAACTTATAGATTCTAACATCTGTTTCATTCCCAACAGCCCATTGTACCTGTTAAACATGACAATATCTCACATAAGCAGGTGTAACCTGTGTATTATGGAGATTGAAGATAGCTCCAGCAAAAAGTGCATAAAACAGTCTGAAATGACTAGATGGAAAGTCAAGGTCAATTGGCTTCAACATTACACATAACTCGTGATAGATAACAGAAGTGGGAGGCTTCCACAAGGGGGCGCTTGGAAAGATGCCACCAAAGGATGAAGTTTTGGGGCGCATTAAAGGCGCTTTGAAGTTAATTAACAGGAAAATATCCATGCCCCGATATAGAAGCAGGGCTATGGACGGTTTTACGCACAGAACTGACATCAAAGTTTACGAAATAAAAGCGAGACTTGCCTTTCCAATCGCTTCTGGACGCGTCCACAGCTCCTAGTGCTTTTATCAACAAGTTCAGAGCAGCGGAGTGAACGCAATGAAGAAGAATGGAGGTCTTTAAGACATGCTGCTCAACGTGCATGTGCTGAGTGCGCACGGCTGTCGCTCAGGGTACAACATCTCACTCACGCTCGGAGACAAGGGGGACTTTAGAAACGATCACCAGACTGTCTTCCCACTCTTCAAAACAAATGAGTGATGTGCGTCCTGGGGGTTCCGTCAGCAGAAGCGCGCATCCTGCTCGTGCGCGAAACGCCTGGTGCCAAAGTGTCCATCATCGAGGACAGCATCACTCAGAGAAGCGAATAGAAACTTTAAGGGCGCTTGCTCCGCTGGTCCTGAGGATGTGTCCCGCTGTCTCGTCTCGTTGTCGGTTGCGATTAAAGAGCAGATACCCGCAGACATGCCGCCTCGCACAGATGGAGATGTCGGAGGAGATAATGCGCCTCCTCTGCTGTGTGTGCCTGTACGCGCACCTTTCTCTCTCCACGCACACCTATCGCGCCTGTGCGTGTCCACCTCAGCCTCACACGCGAACCCGGGACCGAGAAGCACAGCAGCCCTTATATAGATGTAGTTATATAAACGTCCTCTTATCTTCTCATTGGATTTTTTGAAGCATGTTGTCGATACGGATAGATTGAAATGTGCAATATTCTTAAGTGTTTTAAGGGTTTGTAGGTGTAAAATAAATAACTAAGTGAATTCTAAAGCAAAAGTTGTGAAGAACTAGAGCGGTGGTAGATTACAAAATAGTTAGAAGTGCCCACAATTGTCTCATTATGTATTGAGGCAATGGAATATTCAAAAGTCCAAGTATCTACTCATATAAAATATATTATCTGACATATGCACGAATACAAGTATACCGTTTGATCACGCTTTGTTGTGTGAATTTACTAAATAAAAACTGGAATAAAACTTACTCACACATTCCTTATTTTTAAGAAGCAATTGTGAGAATGAGACGGATACTTTGGGAATATCTCCGTGGATTTATGTATATACAAAGACATATATATAAATAGGTTGAGGCTTTTAAAGACGAGTGCCTCCTCCCCTAAACTTGAAATTAATGGCAAGTGATATAGTCAGGGGTTTGGGGTGAGTGAGGGGAGGGGTCGCGCCTTTTGCTCCAAGTTTAACCTCGCCGAAGGATCAGCAGAATGCGCACATTTTTATCCAAATGAATATTTCCAACATCTTAAAAATGGCCATAACGTGTACAGCTTTATCATGAAAGTGTTGTATTTGTGGATAATTCGTCGCGTTATGGAATCAGAAGTTCAGGTCATTTTGCCAGAGTTACAGAGGGCAGCGTGCAGAAGCCATGTGCCGAGCTGAGGAGACAGCAGGAGCGCACAAGAGGCTGAGAGCAGAACTCTTAACTGCACCGGCTCAGACTCTCTGACTATAGTGAATTATCACGAGAGTGAAACAGATGCAGAACAGCATCACTAAAGCTCCACAATGCAAGTGCATAACGCGTGGAACATCGCTTTCAAACTTTCCGCGCCATTAGGATCACTCCAGAGAAAAGCTCCAGTGTCTCACCTTGTTGTAGCTCAGCGCTTCATTCCAGCCGAAACTAAAGAATGTGAATCCGACAGAAATAAATCCAGTTTGAAGCGCGGCATGTTGTGCAGGAGCGGGGCAGGAGCGGGACGCGCGCTGGACACGAGCCGCTCATGTGCGCCGCTCGCGGGGAATGAGCTGAAGCCTGACGCACGGCGCCAGCGACGTCACCTGCCACAGCCGCGCGCCAGCTCAAGAGACAAGGAGAAGTGAGAAGATGGACACAGAAGAGTACAGTGTGATGATTCAAGATAATATACTCAATGGGCAGCTTAATGTGATTCAGATTTAAATTGAGCAGTGTATAAATATATGAACATAATTATTTATAATAAACCATCGACCCATGTCATTTCAAGCTTTCATTCAGAATGTTAGAGCCACGCGCTGGTACCACTGATGAGATTATTTGAAAAAATAAAAATGCAAATGCAAATAAAACCTTAAAATCCACTTTGGACACTCTAAACAGCAGTGCCAAACAACACGCCTGCGACGCCTACACGACTCATCCTCTTAAGTTAAAGCCGTGTACATACACTACTGAACATCATGACTGTGGTCAATACATTCAGTTATTATAGTCAAGTTTCTTCTGCATTAATAACCTCAATAGCTGCATGCACAATCACACTTGTCGTTGTCTTCTTGTGTCCTATCTTCTCTGCTCTGTCATATATGTGAGATGTTATTAAAACATTGATGTGTGCAGCTGTTTTTGCGCCTTCCTCGCTGACGCCAAGTTCAGGTATTGGATTTTCACGCCTGTTCAATGAAGTGTAATGCTGCTTCATCCGGAAGAGTTTGTTTTTTATAGTTCAATGGGAGGAGGTCCGATGGGAAGCCTGATTCATTAAGACTGTACAGAACTAGAAGTGCTTGCATTTTTAAAACTTTATAATGAACTTGGATATGTATCTGGACATCACCTTATTCTTTATGTTAAATGACTGAAGACAAAATATTCACCATAATATTTTTCTTGAACTACTGCCCAATATGCACAGTATATAACTTTTCAGTATATATATATATATATATATATATATATATATATATATATATATATATATATTATTATTTTCTAAAGATTGATATTGAATCAGTTACAGCTAAGAAACACACTTACTTTGCACATTTTGTGGTATGTGCGCTACAACATTGTATTTTTCCCACTGTGGGACGAATAAAGGATATCTTATCTTATTTTATCTGATCTCATCTTATACTTTCGTTATAAATATATGTATGCAGAAATAGAGTTGTTTTAGCAATTCGACCACATAAAGTAACAAAATGTGAAGCAGCATTTTCAGTCAGATCAACACTTTTGGAATGAATGTCTGGGTCACACATACAACTGCACAACAGCAAGAGTGAGTACTATGAGTACCACTAACAAATGGAATAGTATGGACCACTGGTTCTAAAACTTTTTACACCAAGTACCCCCTCAGAAAATATTTGCCTCTTCAAGTACCACTACAAATCACCAACACCACACAGTAGCATAATAAGCCTAAGTATTCATCAAAAACAAGGCAGAGGTTTCATTCCTAAAGAAGCTTTTGTATTTGCTGCTCCTTCTGCATGGAACGTGTTGCAAAAAGACTGGAGATGATCTGACTGTATTTAATTGAATGCTTTCAGATCCAGATTGAGAGCACTTGAGACAGCTTCAGTGAATTGTTACTGTTTTTTCTAATTCATAATTTTATGAAATTGTATGTGACTATTTTATAATCTGTAATTGTATGTAATTTTTGTACAGGACTCCCATGAAAAACAGGTTTTCATTGACTGCCAGCCATTTTTGATGACTTCACTGATTTTTAAGACTCACAGAATATTGTGTACTATGACCATGAAAAATATGAAACCAGAGTCTGAAAGACTGGACTGTCGCCTTTCAGCAGCAAAAAGAAGCTTGTTTTTAGCTTGTTTGTTCTCCTTTGATCTCCAGTCGAAAAGAGGGGAGTGTGACAAAAAGCACCAGTCTTAAGCCCTATTCGAACGGGATTAGTATTACCTGTGGACCTCTGGTAATTTGTGATAATCGCGGAGGACGTCTGAGATTGTGCAGTGCATTCACACTGGATAAGCAATGTCTGTAATTTTCACTGACATCTGACACAACGACACGCAGATTCGCACAGGATAAGTATTATCAGACGACATCTGTGTTTGGTCAAATACAGGAGGTAATTTGAGGCGGAATTATTACTTTACAAATTACAGACATGGCGCATTCGCACGGGACTGAGATCTCAGACCTCCTCTATGATTATCACAAATTACCAGGGGTCCCCATGTAAAACTAATCCCGTCCGAATAGGGCTTTAGACAAAAAGCAGAGAAAATGAGGTGTTTGTGAAAACAAACAAACCTGCAGAAAAGTGACTGTAACACTATTTAGTTTAACTTTAGCATCTCCTCAAACATGTCCAGGATCATACATGTTAGAAAACAGCAACAACACCTTATGAGAAAGTGTTTTTGATGCAAAATAATGTTTTGTGGCACACACACCCACATCTACAAAGTGTTGCTCGAATATTTCAAAGTGTACTCATCCAAAAAACGTCAACATGTATGTGTCTTTGTGTGTTTGGGCGCGTATGTGCGTCTGTGTCAGCTCTAGACACATTTACTGCTCAATCTGCCTCCAAACGTAGCCTGACCCTGACTTTATTACTCCATGCCTGCTTCAGAGTGCTCAGGCTGTGATCTTTGACCAAGACACCCACAGAGCTCTGCTGCATCTGCTGGCTAAATAAAACACTGTCTACAGCCAAACCCCAGACATCTATGATACACAGACACAAACGGACAGGAAAAGATTGAAAAACAATGTTGAAGTCAATTGATGTCAATGACAATGAGTTAATCTCAATGGTACTTTCCTGGGATTTTTTTCTGTGATTCTTTGGCGTACCCCTAAGGGTACGCATACCCCACTTTGAGAACCACTGCCCTAGAGGGAGTCCCGCGTACCCCTAGGGGTACCCCACTTTGAGAACTACTGGTATAGACTAAAGTAGGCGCCTCTAACTCAATTCAGCTGGGGGCTGCACAAAGTGGAGTCTGGGTGAGGCCGGGCCGCATTAAGGGTTTTTTTTATCACGTGTGTGTGTATGTGCATAATGCACATACACGTGTGTGTATGTGCATAATATATGCACATAATATATGCACATCAGAAAATATGTGCATCAGAAAATATCAGCAAAAGGATCAATGCAACGTGCAAATATAGAATTTAACCGTGAAAACTGCACATGCATTGATATATTTGCTCCTATTTGGGAGGCAAACTGTAGTCTTCTCATTTTTTAACCGTAACAGAAGAGAAAGTAAATGTTTGTGCTCGTAAAACAGAGACACAAACAAAGACAACAACGGATCAAGCGTTTGTGCAAAATGTATAGCTCAACATTTGCTTCTGAGACTTTTTATAATCATGAAGCCATCTTGACCAAATACTCACTTACATTGAACGTGGTTTAGATATAATGTTGCATATCTATTTTTGGGCCACATGTTTGTGACTTGTGATCTAAAGTCACAACGTTGTTGATTTTGTGTGTGTGTGTGTGTGCAGATTTCCAGTGTGTGTTTGTGAGTTATTGTGTGTTTTTATGTGAATTTCTTGCCTTGTATTGTTGGCAAATTAACAATTTTGCACAGTCCCCTAAGGTATGTGGTTGTGAATTAGTGCTATACAAAACAATAAATAGATTTGAATTGAATTTATGTTTGTAAAAAAAAAACAATGTCAGATTTTCCAAGGTCATAAACACCTTCAGTTTAACTATGGAGTAATTTAGTTCAGGCCTTTTAGGAGATCTATTATAATTAATAGTTACCTAATGTAACTTAAGTTCTACGAATAGGTGCGTAGTCCCTTAGGACTTCGCTAGTGGGATATCACGTGACCCCCAGGTCACAGACGCCAGAGAGATCAAAATAATTTGCTCCAATCACCAGCCACCTTCCTCTATAAATGCCCCTGCACAAGGCCGCACCCCCTCTTGAACTCTGCCAAGCCGGGCTGGCCTGATGGGCTCGTAGCTAAGGGACTACGCACCTATTCGTAGAACTTAAGTTACATTAGGTAACTATTAATTCTACGTCATGGTGCTACGTCCCTTAGGACTTCGCTAGTGGGACACAACGCGGAGGCCGTAGGAACATGTACTCCCAGCAGGCCAGCGAAGGGTGATTGGAGCTCCGCCCGAGCAAGACCCTCACACCGTGAGAGGACTCAGGGCAGAAGAAACAAAGCGTGTTACCGGGCCACTCCTACCAAGGACGCCCCCACGTAACACCAATCGTAGGTCAACCGTAGTCACAGGACGCCTCTCCCAAGAGCTCCTGATGTAGACTACCAGACCGATCAAACACACATATATGTACCGCACCTGTAGGATGCCTCTCCCAAGAGCTCCTGCACCAGGGCGGAAAAATAGACCGAAGGCCCACTCCTCAGGGGAGGGACCCAACGGTCCAACTCAATCCGCTGCACTCAGCACGGAATGGGCCACCGACCGGTCCGACACATCCGAAAGATAAGACCGGACGAAAGAGGAGGACGACGCCCAAGAAGCCGCACGGCAAACGTCCTCGACCGACGCCCCCCTGAGAAGGGCCGTAGAGGCCGCCATCCCACGCGTGGAATGCGACCTGAAACCCACCGGGGGGGCCAGGCCCTGCGCCTGATACGCCCGTCGCACCGCCGTGGCGACCCAATGCGCCAGCCGCTGAGCCGACAGCGGGGCGCCCCTGTTCTTGGGGCCCAGACACACAAACAGCTGATCACCCGACCTGAATGACGACGTCATGGCCAGGTAATGCCTCAGCATTCTGATAGGACACAGAAGGTGCTGCCGCTCCTCCTCGGGGGAGGCATGCGGCGGCGGGTGGAAAGCCCTAATCCTGATCACTCTCGACCTAAAGGCCGACGTGATGACCTTGGGGAGAAAAGCCGGATTGGGCCACAACTCCACCATGCCGTCGTCCTCTCCAAAGGACAGGCACGACGCATGGACTGAGAGCGCACACAAATCGCCCGCCCTTTTTTGCAGACGCCAACGCCAGCAAGAGGGCCGTCTTAAAAGCGATACAATCGGGACTCGCCTCCGCCGCCGGTTCAAAAGGCGAACCCGACAGCCCCCTAAGGACCACCCTGAGGTCCCAAACCGGAGGCGTTCTCT